ATAAATAAATAAATAAATAAATAAATAAATAAATAAATAAATAAATAAATAAATAAATAAATAAACAAACAAACAAACAAACAAACAAACAAAACAGGAACATGCTTTCATCGGGACTCTCCTGTTAATAATTTTGCCACCACATTTTGGATGAGCTAAAGTTCCTACTGTGATGAAGTGTATTTTTCCAATTAGAGATGGGTTATGTAGTCATGTCTTAACCATAGAGGAATCCATTTTGAGTCTGACACAGGCTAAGTTCTGGAAAATTACTAGTAGTTATTTTCAGCTTTTCTTATCGCTGCAGCTGGAGAGGAAAACACGGCAGAGTCAAAATATCTCTAACCTGAATGATAAACAATTCTTTGGTGTTGGAAGGTCCATGAGAAAACCCACAGATCGCTAACGTTTTAGAGTGAACCCCCGATGGTGAACTCTCTTGTGATGCCCGAGTTAAGGGACTGTTATGTTGAATGCAGAGAAACGGAGGCACCCATTGGTCTAAATGAAGTTGTTGTTCATGGTTCTCTGGTGTTTGAAAATAAAATAAATGTTTATGAAGAAGGCTGGTCTCCACTTTTTGGGCACAAAAAGGGGAATGGAGTTTTACCAAAGCTGAACCCACTCACAAGGCCTTAACAGCAGGTTTAAAAAAGAATAAAGATGGCAATAAAGATGTTTGAGCCATCTATGAGAGGGGGGGGCATAGCCTCTCTGGTCTAAAATGTGGGGACAGATGGACATGCAAAAAGACCTCCTTACATTTATTTTAATTAGTGGGCAAGTTCATATGGGAGAAGACAGTCCTTTGCATTTCCTGATTCCAAGGGCTGAAGGGCTTTATAGACCACCACCAGCAGCATTTTGAATTGGCACTAAGAAACAAACCAGAAGCCAAAGTGTTTCAAAGTGGTCGCAATGACCAGATAGGCGGGNTTGGTTGAATATGTCAGGAGGGGGCAGGTTGGAGAAATTTACAAGAGGTTGGAAAAAGTAACTCGGAGAGGGAGAAGAGAGTTTTGGGTATCTGAAAACATGGCGTTGCATCTCTTTGATCCAAGTGAAGGAACCTAAACCAACAATATGGACTGCGTAAGAATATCGTTTGTTTACCTTAGTTTATAGTTTAGTTTTTGTTTTGTTTAATAGTTAATTTTTATAGAAGGTGCTGAACCGTTATGCTGTTGCTTAGAAATGAAACTGTAGAGAAATGTTTTCTTTATTCTCTTAAATAAACTTATGTTGTTTAATAATTGGCCTTTCTAGTCCTTTGAACAGAACGGTTTCCCTATAGATAATTAATTTGGCTTACGTTACCAAAATTGAATCATTAAACAGTAAAGATGCGGTATCAAGTGGTTTCTTTTTAATAAAATCGAAACAGACTTTAAATGCAGGCTGCCAAGAGTTCATGTCCCGGGAACTGTGTTGACTCAAGCAGTTAACTCCGAACGGGGGTGAATGGAGCCTGGATTTTCCTGTTTCGTGGTTTTTGATCTCATTTATGGGACCAATAACTCACACCTACACATTATACAAAAGGCAGCCCCATGTTCAGTGCTCCGCATTATCCAGTCACAAGAAAACAAAATCAGCTGTCACCATGGCAAAATCTGCAGATCTCAAACAGACCTGTACTAATTTAACTTGGACAAAGGGACAGTGAACTATACTGAGACCACAAGACCCTCTACAAACCTGCATTTTCCAGAGAAATACTAAACCTTTATCTTAACAAATCTGTGGAAGTAAGAGCTAGAAATGCAAGACTTTGTGCTGATACTATTCATCACCCAAGTTAAATAACTGGCTATATCTCAACTAGCTATGCTACCTGGGGTATTTTTATCAAAACATTTTAGCAAGACACACAATCATTTTCATATGTATCACCTATTTACCAACTAAAATAACTGGATAGATTATGCCTCAATCACCACACTGGTTGGAGAATCCTGGGAGTCACTGGCAAAAGGAGTTACATTTTTATCCTTTGAGTACCTGACTGAATACTCGGGTAGAAAGGGGAAAGAGACCAGCACAAAGTGCTGGACTGGGTTTAACTCTAGTGATACTGAATGCATTTACTGACTGTGGAATACTTTTCACCTGAGAATGAATTTCATGACCAACGCCTTCCTTTATGCATGATAGTGAATCCTCTTGCAGCATAACAGTTATGTACTCAGTATTTATTTAATTCCATTACCAATAGGGAACCCAAGGTGCTTGCATTGGTTTTGCAAATAATGGGACTACTCCATAGTAGTGTCAGAATGTGAATAGGTGTAAGAAATGTCCAGGAAAAGTAAGACACATGGATCAGACCTGAGCCTGGCTAGGGGGAGGTACTGAGGTATCTACACAAGTAGAATCATAAAACTATAGAGCAGAAAAGGATATCTAAGATCATCTAGACGAGCCCTTTGCCAGTAAAGGAAATCCATAGCTAAAGCATTATTAACAGTTGGCCATTGAACCTCTGTTTAAAAAACACAAATGAAGGAGAGTTCACCACTTTCTGAGGCAGTTTGTTCACTGTGTTGCATCTTTTACTGTCAGAAACTTCTTCCCGAGTCAAAATTTACTTTGTTTGCAATTTTTACCCATTGGTTCAGCTTCTACTCTTGGAGCCACAGAAAACAAACTAGTCTTACATTCCATGGGACAGCTCTTCAATTATTTCAAGACAGCTACCACCGCTATCACACCTATCAGTCTCTCTTCACCAGGCTAAAATTACACATTGCCCATTGTACAACAAATTATAATAAGTAAATTTTTACCTCGGTATCTCCACCTGTTGTTGATTTGTAAATACAGCTTTCTCATGACTGCTGGGGACAGAAACATTTTCATATGCTTTCAGCTTCTCCTTCAGCATTGTAATCTGAAATATGGCAACATTTTTTTATAAAAGTGGGAGGACTTGGCTTTGCATGTCAACTTTCATTTTCTATGTGCATCTTTAAACAGCTTTAAAAATGTTTTGCATTACATTTAATACAATGTGGAAGCATCAGGTTCTCACCAAATTTGGTTGATAGCAATTAGCACCCTTGGCTTAAATTGTTATGCACCATATGCATCCCCAGTAAACTTAGTAACTGACATACCTCTTTCTTTTGTTCTTCACAGATCTTCACATACAGACTTATATGGCTGTCCAGACTGACAACATTGCTCTTCAGCTGTGGAGAGATGAAGAAGCTCCAATTCAGAACAAATTTTAAAAAACCTGAACTTTTCTTTTCAAACCACATAAACTTCATCATATCAAACACTGGTAACAAAGACTTCAGAAAGGCAATGAGTAGCATTTATTTCTCTACTTACACTAAGCAGAACTCCTCACTCTTTCATCCTGAAAACAACCCCATGTATCCTTCAAAAAGTCTCTCTTTACTTGAAGAACTCTTAGAAAAGGCTTTGGATGTGTGACAGCGAAAATTTACTTTAATGAAGAACATACCATATTTTTCGCTCCATAAGACGCAGTTCCCTCCCCCCCAAAAAAGTGGAGAGAAAAGTGTGTGTGTCTTATAGAGCAAATACTGCCCTTGGCCTCATCACTACCTTTCCAGGCCTCTGGAGGCCTCAGAAGGCCCCACCCCACCCTCACCGACACCCTCAGAGGCTTCCCCGGCTTAGAAAGCACCTGACCGCTTCTCCTTCCTCCTCCTTCCGCACACCAGGTCCATGGAGCTCCTCCGACCTGCGCGCCCCACCCAGGGTGTTCGGTGGCACTTACTCATGAGTAGACTCGTGCCTCCTGCAGCACTTAGTCATGAGTAGACCCACACCTTTTGCAGCCCTTACTCATGAGCAAACCCACACCTTTGGCAACCCTTACTCATGAATAAACCCACACCTTCAACCCCACCAACACCCTCCTACCTTAATCGTGGCTGCTGAGGTCTTTTGGTCTCAGAGCCATGCATGTAGAAATGGAGACTGCCTGCCCTCTGCAAAGATAGTGGCTGTGGCTTCATTCAGGGTTGGAAAGCTGCAGCTGCCATCTTTGCAAAGGGCAGCCTGGATTCCCTTAAGGCAGGCCAAGGGAATCCAGGCCACCCTTTATTAAGATGGCAGCTGCAGTTTCCCTGTCCGAAAGAGAGCCAATGCCACCATCTTTGCAAAGGGCAGCTGGTGTTCCTTAAGGCAGGCCATAGCGACACAGGCCACCACAGCATCTGGAGGTGGATGGTGGCGGCGCTGGAGAGTGGATAGTGGTGGCCACCAAGGCAGGGAGAGCAATGGGGTGGGGGCAGATTAGGGGGGCTGTATGCCTTTGGGTCTATAGGCAGAGTGGGAAGCTGTTTGGCAGACAGAGTGGGAAGGCCATAGGCAGAGAGGAAAGACTACCCTTCTCTTTCTCTGCTATGGGTGATGTGCATTATTTATTTAATTGCCCACCCCTGACACAGAGGAATATTTTTTCCCTGTTTTCCTCTTCTAAAAATTATGTGCGTCTTATAATCAGGTGTGTCTTATGGAGTGAAAAATACGGTATATAACGACACACTGAAACTATCCATAACTGAGCAACAGTAAGATCACGTTCTAGGACTCAGAGTGCCTCTTCATACTCTGTTGTGACACCAGTATGTCATTACAGTCTTTCTTCTTATAAACAGCTTTCTAAGCTCTAGCTGTAGTTAGAATGGGGAGGGGAAAGTTAGGTGGAGATCAAAACTGTCAAATATGTTTGTCCTCTTAAAATCATTCTGAAAGATGGATTTCTTCGAAAAAGGGAGGAGAACAAAAAAAAGTAAATAAAGGAAGGTTTAGTCATTTTGGAAAAAGTGTGGGATCTTTGACTTAAAAATGTCTGATAAGTCTATTCCAATAACGATTTCAAATATGTGGGACAATGCAGAAGACATAGAGGGCATAGTACCTTTCCTGTTCTAATTATCTGTTTAGGCACAACTACAAAAAACAACACTCCATGGCTTTATAATTTGTACATATCAATGTAGAACCTAGAAGAAGTTTACGTACAGAGGATTTGATGTCCTTGGCTCGACTGGCGTACTTAAGGGTATTATATGTGTCATCGTAGAACAGAGAAGAAGGACTAACAGCAGCTACAATTATAGTACGACAGTTTCCTCCGAGTGAATCCTTCAGCAGACGCGTCAACTTGCTGTTTCGATAAGGAATGTGCTGTTTCTTACTCTGGAAAAGCAACAATAACAAAAACCCACAAGGAAAACAATGAGTGCTTAATGGATTACTGCAATTACAAAAGCTCCAAATCATGACCTGTTAAGAACAGATGTACAGCGCAACACACATCATTGGCAGGTGAGAAAATCCTTGAAACTCATGTTTCCCTTAGAAAGCGTCTACCAACAGAAAGGCAATCCTAAACATGTCCTGATCCAATATTCCAGGCAATGAAGCCATTAATTAATTAATTGTCATTTCTATACCATCTCATTAGTGTTGTCATTCTCTGGGCAGTTGACAATATACAATGAAAATACCAAATAATACATACAAAAAAATTAATAAAATATAATAAATTCAGACTAAAACCCATTGGAACATCCCAGGCCAGTATTCACAGCTATATATATTTCAGTCTTAATTAGCTTCTTAAAAACATAGAGGGATGGTGCCTGGGTAACCTGTGTAGGAAACTACAGAAAGAGAAGGGACCATAACCAAGAAAGCTTGGTTCCTAGTGTCGGCATTTTTGGCCTCCTTCGGTGTTACAGTTCTTAATATCAAGGGGGATGGTGCCTGGGTAACCTGTGTAGGAAACTACAGAAAGAGAAGGGACCATAACCAAGAAAGCTTGGTTCCTAGTGTTGGCATTTTTGGCCTCCTTCGGTGTTACAATTCTTAATATCAAGGACTGAGTGGAGTATCTGGGATGCTCCAAAAACTCTTAAGCACTTTAATATGAGGATGGGAGTTACTTTGCCAAATATCAACATCCAAAAACTCTTAAGGGCTTTATGAGTTATGACCAGCACTTTAATATGAGGATGGGAGTTACTTAGTCTTCCTTCATGTCAATGCAGGTTCTCCAAAGCATGATGGAATCCTCTGCTTAAATATCTCTCAGCAAATAAGAATTCAACATCTTCTACATGGTGATGCATTTCTATTTCCCACCATGTGTGTGGCTTAATTCAGAAAGGCTGGGGTCAAATTTCAAGCTTTTCTACAAGCCGACAGGGCAGCATTTCTGTTAAGCTGCCCGTTGCAATGAGTCTGTCCAATTAAAATTGTACTTTTGCACCAAAACGCCAGAGTGCTTGAACATCATTAAGTCAATAGTGACTTGCCAATATTTAGAGATGATACAGTTGATTTATATTCTTGGATGTGGCTTGCTCAGTCACATGATATTGTCTATGTAGTCAGATAACAAGATCCCATTTAAAACATTGTGACATCTGCTGAACACATCAAATTCAGTCCCATTTCCTCAAGCTTCACAACGTAATAGCATTACAATGACCTAACAGACTAGAAACTATTCTCTGCACCATTCATAAGACACAGGAGAGTTAAAAACTAAGAAATACTAAGAGAAATAAATATTTGGATAACTGAGTTATCAAAATAATAATGATAAAAAAAACTACCTTGAGGCCTTAGCAATTAAATACTATATATAAATTAATTAGCCCATTCGTGCTCTGAAAAGGGAACCAGTGCAGAATAGAGTGATAGACAAGAGGAGAACTTGGATCAAAGAGATCCTGGTTCAAAGCCTCTTGTGAGCAAAAACAGCTCACTCAATAACTATTGGCCAATTACTATCTCAAAATTTAATTCAGTCTAACCTGCCAGGTTGTTAGTTGAAATAAAGGGACAAACTTCACTTAGGCTGCCTTGGGAGCCTTCAAGAAATGTTGAGACACAAATGTGATGCTCAATCAATCAAATGTTTATAACAATAAATAAGACATACATTATTTATTTAGTATTTCTGTGTTTCATATGAACATTAATAACAAACTATTATTAACAAATCACAGTACTGACAACACAAGCACTTACTTTAATGCATAGTCAAAAGTTTCATACAAATAGTTGACTATAACCCAAATTTATAGGGGGTGGAGAGAAAGGGATTACTATAGGCATGATACAGAGTTGATTTCCTTCTCCAGACATAGACTAAGTCAGGAAATGACTAGTCCTACAGAATTTAGATTGCAACTCCCATCATCCCTCATCATCATCTATAGTAGCTGGGGCTGATGGTATCTAAAGTCCCATCGATGCCTGGAGGATCATAGATGTCCCAAAAACTAATAAAATAATCATATGTTATCAAATCAATTTGGACTTATGGTAACCCTTTTCATGGCTCTTCAAGTAGAGAATATTCAGGCATGGTTTACCATTCCCTTTTTCTGGGGGCATCTTGGGACTGTGCAGCTTGCCCATGGCTACAAAGGCTGACTCTACTCCCGGGAGGCACAGTGGGGGAAAACTGAACTCCCAGATACCTAAACCCCTGACCCTATTAAACATGCATATAAAACTTGCCAAAAAGCCCGGTGGAGTGTTAGGGAAACAATACCTACCTTTGGGTCTGCTAGCGCATTAATGACATTGCCAAGAGCTAACAGCGAGCGATTAATATTTGCGCCTTCTCTAAAGCGAGCTCCCTTGGTTTTTGTGGCACTGGCACGTTCAGACCCGGCCAGGTCCAGAAGACACATTTTGGCAATACGGACGTTTTGGTTGATACTTGCTGCCTTATCTTGTTGCCTCAAGTAGATCTAAACAGGCAGGGAAAGTAAAAAATAAATAAACAAAAAGCCTGTAGCGTTCACCCTTATTATGTTAAGTAGTTATGAATATTCATGTTTCAGGCTAATATTGCTGAGAGGCGGAGCCGAGAGATATGTATTAAAGAAGCGGAGTCAAAGAGGGAGTCAGGCAGTAAGAGTCAGTTGGAGAGAGTGGAGAAGAAGATAGAGTGTGAATCTGAGGTGTGACTAGAGTGAACAGTGAATAAGAACTGTAATGATAAATAGAAGGGTGAGATTGATGATAATCGAAGTTACCTATGATTAATATAATAACATCTGTAATCAATAAACAAGTTTTATTTAAAAGACAGTGAAGTTTGGACCTGCACCTTCATCCTTAGTGGCAACAGGTAAAAAGGAGGAGTTTGCCTTCATGTGCTCTGTGTTTGGAGAGTCAGGCAAGGGGCACAAGGGCAAACGCCACAGAGCCAAATGAAGAAGACTGGGAGTTGGCCAAGGGAACACCCTTGCTGTGGACGCTCATTGACCAAGATGGGCGGGGAAGAAGAGAATGCTACTAATTACCGGATGTTACAGATACAGACACAAGGTTTTTGTAGAATAAGTAGAGGATTTCAGTGAGTGAAAAGAATCAAGGTGCAGACTGGACTGTGTGCCTGAAAAAAAAGAGCTTCTGAAAGGAAGTTATGGCCTTTTGATAAATTCTTCTACCAATTTCCATGCCATGTTGGGACTCATGGATGGAAACAATTCATCACTATGTCCAGTAAAAGCACTTTCTGGCCAATAGTTTGAATATCCACTATTTCAATGTTTTCTTTGGGATTTTATACATACTTACCCAGAAGAAAACCTTACCACATTCACTGCTATATCATGTTACAGTAAGTGTGCACAGGATTAGTCTTGGCTGCAAGCTCATACACTTACATGAGAGTAAACCCCAAAGAACATATTCCTTATGAGTAAATATATACACAATCCAGTCTTCAGATGCACAGCCAGCTATTTAAATGGGAACCAGTCCTTATTTTAATGTTATATTTTAATGAATGGAAGAAGAAAAAAATGCTCCATTTATACAGGATCCATTTTCCCTTCAACACCTTAACTGATTCCTTATGTGCAGTTTAAGGAGAGGATAGACTAAAAGCAACTTGTTCCGCAGTAATATTTAGAACAAAGGACTTAAAGCAGACAAGACTGTGAGCTGCTTGTCTTTCTCCAAGACCAAAACGATGATGGCTGGTGTGCCATAATCTGAGGGTAGACTTGACTCTTCTCGCTCTCTCTCTTTTTTTGAACAAAGCTTCAAAGGTTATCTAAGATCCTCCGACACCTTATCCGCCAGATTACCTTACCTGAAAGACAGCATGGGACCGAGATGAGGAGGCATTCACATCAGTGGGATGTTGTGTCCTGTTTTTGTTTCCATAATCCAGCATTTGCAAGATCTCTGCTGCAGATTTTGGCTTCAAAGTGAAAGAAAAAAGCCAAATGAAACAACTAAATCTTCACTCAAATTTAATAAAGACAGTTTAATTGTCACAGGATTGAATAATAACACTATCATCATCACTTTTCTTGCCGTCTTGGTCCCAGAGGACAAGAGATACAAAGCAAGTAAGATGATCCCTTCTATCAGACCAGGTTCTCTTGGTGCACACAAGAGAACTTGCCTAAAGATTATGTTCAAGATTAACTTGTGCTATGTTGCCAAAAGAAACCGGGTGAGAAAAGGCATCATTTTACCAGTTTCACCCTCTCAGCTCATTCAGATGCTCCATGATAGATTCTTTAAGTAATTAGCAATAATTTCAGTGCAGAATGACTAATTTGCAGGCAATACGGAGTTTGGTGGGAGTAAGCAGGAACTGATAATGAAATGCTGACAAAGATTCATAGGGAAGTTCAGAAACTGGATACTTAATCCATTCATGGCAAGATTTCTGGCACAGGAGACAGTCCTATACTGGCTTCTTTGAACCATAAACTCTACATTTCTTGATAGTCTCCTTTCAACAGCAGTTGCCATGTCCAGCTTCTTTAGAAAGTCCTCAGAGTTTCAGATAATCTGTCACAAAGGACAGTCCCTGAAGTATTATTTGGGAAAGCGGTTGCAGACATGACTCTTCTCATTTGGGTTCAAAGGGTTTTAACACAAACTGGAAAGACTGTAATTTTCCCTTTATACAAGCACATCTGTAATCAAGTCTTTAGATTGGCTTTCTCTCATTCTTTACCTCAGGTGTCCAATGTTCTCCATACAATGGTACCACAATGTTTACTTTCAGTAAGAGGGATGAAGGACTGTTTACAAAGTAAGAGGTTCTGTATTGTCTTAGAAATCTTATATCAGGCATTAAAATATTAGCCTTCAAATTAAAAAAAATAGAAAAGAAAATGACACCAAATGTGCGATATAAAGACTGTGCATGCTCATTTGCTGCACAGAAGGCAAGGGATGTTACCACCAGACTACCCAGAATACACCAGACCTCATCCGGTTTCAGAAGCTAAGCATCATGGGAAGTACATATTCCACTATCCAAATTCTTCTCTTAGTTGGTGATGCTTTAAGCTTTTAAGGGGCTTGGATGGACAGAGTTCCTGTCCTCTGAAGAAGCTGGCCACAGAGACTGGCGAAACGTTAGGAAGAACAATATTCAGAACACGGCCAAAGAGCCCGAAAAACCCACAACAACCATTCTTTTAACAAATTACAGAGAAGATACTGGATATAGCAACATGCATACCTGGTACAAGCTTAACCCATGAACTAATACTCCTTTCTGAGGATCTTCTCGAACAGCCAGTGGTCCAGAGTTTACTAGTAGGTCACGTATCTGCTCATTGTAGACCTTGGAAACGGTTAGTGGAAGGCAAAAATAATTATAAATGGGCAAGTATCTAACTATGTACAAACATTACTTATCCATAAAGTATCTGGATTTGATAATCCTATCTCAATTTAGATGAACAAAATGTATGTAATATTACAACACAGTTTATTTTTCTAATATTCTTTCGGAATTCTCAAAATAATACACTAAAGGAAGAGGTTTTGAAATTTTAAATGGTGAAATTTTAAATGAAATATGGAAGAGGTGAGAAAAGAGACAATCTTTGTGAAAGTAGTGCTTTTGCCTTTTTTATGACTATTTGGCAAAATCCTGTTGGCATAGCTTTATGCCAGGACGCCCCAGATCAAGAACTGGAAATATTAATTTAAACTAAAGATAAGTTGTCTGTCCCTCTCTCCCGACCCTGGATTTTGTGGCTCCCTAGTGCTTTCTTTCGACCTGGAGGAGTCTTGATATGGAATTACAATCATGTCCCGTCAAGTCAGTTCTGACATGACAACCCCCTTTTCAGGGTTTTCCAGATAGACAATACTCAGAAGTGGTTTACCATTCCCTTCTTCCGGGAGTGCCATGGGAGTGTGCTGCTAAAGAGAGACGTTAATAGTCAAAATCCACTGCTGTATTGCTGCTGGGAGTCCTAGCAATTAGGCTGCAGTTTTGACTATGAAAGGCCCCACCCACACATCCTGAGGTTCCCAAAAGCTTCCCAGGACAAAAGCAAGCCTGAAAAGAGGGGAAAGCTTTCAATTAGTTTAAATATTTCTGTCACCCGATTGATTAAACTGATGTAATTTTACAGAACAGAATTTTGCCCTGTATGTAATGAAACATACCATACAAGTAGTATTGACATTTTTCAATGGTTATAAGGCATTTCCAAGAAAATAAAAAGGGTACACGAAACAAGGAACATATTTTAGGCCATGGGAAAAAAAAGTATAAACATGATAAACATGATATAGTCAATAAGTCAAAAGGATAAACTAGCTAACCTGCATAAGCAAGTGCACATAGATGTCCATAAGAAAACTCCCTAAAATCTAGCAAACCAAAAGGAAGGAAGGATGAGAAGATAATACAAATGAGGTTTGGAGAAACACACAGTTACAAGATGGGGGATACCTGGCTCAGCAAAACTATGAGTGAAAAGGATCTTGAAATTGTTGTAGATCACAAGCTAAATAAGAGCCAACAGTGTGATGTGGCTGCACAAAAGACAAATGCTATTTTAGGCTGCATTAACAGAAGTATAGTTTCCAAATCCTGCAAGGTGCTAGTCCCCCTCTATTCAGCACTGGTTAGGCCTCACCTTGAGTATTGTGTCCAGTTCTGGACACCACACTTCAAGAAGGATGCTAACAAACTGGAACAAGTTCAGAGGAGGGCGACAAGGATGATCAGAGAGGTGTAAACCAAGCTTTATCAGGAAAGGCTGGAAAAATTGGGCATGTTTAAGCTTGAGAAAAGAAGGCTGAGGGGTGATATGATAGCACCTTTCAAATATCTGAAAGGCTGTCATACAGAGGAGGGGCAGGATCTGTTCTCGATCATCCCAGAGTGCAGGATATGCAACAACAGGCTCAAGTAAAAGGAAGCCAGATTTTGGTTGAATATCAGCAAAGACTTCCTAACTGTTAGAGCAGTACGACAGTGGAACCAGTTACCTCGGGAGCTGGTGTGTGAATGGAGGCATTCAAGAAAAACTTGGAAATTCACCTGCCAGATATGCTTTGATTGTAATTCTGCATTGAGCAGGGGGTTGGACTTGATGGCCTTGTAGGCCCCTTCCAACTTCACTTTTCTATGATTCTACGTATGAAAATGGAGACTGAGGGATTGTCACATTTCTACAAAGTCTTTTTGTGGGTGTATAATTTGGATGTCTGAAACCCAATCTTCACCAAATGCAGAGGGATTGTAGAGGAAAGTCAGGGGAAGCTTATCTGTTATTTTGGTATCTCTAGGTGCTGCGGGGGCTTTGATGAATAGATTCATAGTAAATTCATTATTCGTCAACCTTGACAAATCATGAATCAAAATGAATCACCCTTTTTCTGATTCATCCCCATCTCTAGTTACAATCTGTTGTATTAGAATACTATGACTGGTATCCTGTTGGTGCAAAATGTGGCTGTAATGGACATTGTGCAAGAGCTTCTGACACTGGAAGATCTGCATAATCCCATATCCAACTAAAAGTTTTCTGCCTGCTGTTGCGCAATGGATGTTAGCAGCTGGTCTGTTCAGGCTGTGCAATGCAACTGAGCAACAATCCACTGTCCCACAACTTTGCCTCCTGCTCTTTGTGCATATGGTTACATTACACACTTGTGAGCAGGATTCTGCCCCACAAGCCTTTCTTCTTAACATTTCATATTGATTTGTAGCTAACATATTTATCTAATTTAATATATTCATTTGAAATGTAAACTGCTCCCTCCTCATGCACACAGAGGATTGTCTGTTGCATAGTAATGCTGGGTATTTAAACCAAAAAACAGGAAATAAATTTTATGTTTTTCTCTTGATCTTTCTGTTACAGCCTGCTACGCGCAACATAAACAATGAAAGCTAGAAATATGCCCAGTTGTTTGTTCAGGTACTACAGTGGGACTGAACAATCATTTTCTAGATGAAACAATAATTCAGTTTTGAGTTACATTAAAATCATTCAGAAAACCCAACCTGCCCCAAAAGTTCTTGGGCCCTCCAAACTAAATATTGTTGCTGAGTTTGAAGAGGGCTGGAGTAACTGTATCCACTTGTTTTCCCACACAGGATACACAGTCAGACATACAACTGCTTTTGGGTACACAAGATTAACCTGGTTCACATAAGGAAGCACTTACAGTGGGGTCTCTACTTAAGAACGTCTCTACTTAAGAACAATCCAACTTAAGAACAGCTCCATTTGCTAAATTTTGCTTCTACTTGAGAACAGAAATCCAAGAACAGGAAAAAAACCTTTTCTGCTCTTTTTTTAACCTTAGGTCATCTTAGGTTAAAAAAATTTCTCCCCCTGGTGGTAGAGTACGTATTAACCAGCTTTGCATTAGTTCCTATGGGAACTAATGCTTCAATGTACGAACACACCTCTACATAACAAAACAAACAGCCAGAACGGATTAATTGGTTTTCAGTCCATTCCTATGGGAAATTTTGCTTCAACTTAAGAACATTTCAACTTAAGAACACCATTCCAAAATGGATTAAGTTCTTAAGTAGAGGTTCCACTGTAGTTTCTATGGACGGAAAAGAGCAGATACAGATTAAATGGTTTTCAATGCATTCCTATGGGAAATCAGATTCAACATAAGAACTTTTCAACTTGAGAACCACCTTCCAATATGGATTAAGTTCTTAAGTAGAGACCCCACTGTATTCACACCTCTTAATAATGAAACTTTGGAAGGAATCTCCAGTGAGGCTCAACAGGAGGGAGATTGGCCTGTATGAGTCCAGCCTTTGACACTGTTGGACTGACTGATCATTCATCACCCTAGTTTGTATCTGAATATAAACATTTATGGCATGAAATTCCTCTATTGTGAGAAAGTCATCTATCCACTTACCTCAAGGTACGAAACAGCAATAGCACAATGTTTTTCATCCTTCATCCGATCAATGCAATTGTAAAGCTCCATCATGGTGAGGTACATAACCCCTGGATCCTCGGGGGAGCCCAGCATTGTGTGAGTCTTTCCTGCTCCAGTTGCTCCATATGCAAGCACTTGCATGGTGGTGGCAAGGCAGGGGGAGGGGGAGGCAAAAGGGATAATTTTAAGGAGTGCATCCTTAGACTAACATTTGTAACAAAAAAGGCTTGCCATTCATGAATGTTGAGATTTTTTTTTTACCCACTAGCAAAATAAGGACAGGGGAAACACAAGGCAACCCTACCACTAACATACATTCTGTGTATTTGGTTACATATTTTCCTTTCTACTAAAAATAATGCTGGCTAAAAGCATAACTAAAAACAAATTAAACAGAAACATCATCACAATGATCAATAAGCAAAATTAAATGGAATGGAAGTGATCCCAACTCCAGGGAAAGTGCATTCTACAATCTGAAAGCAACACAAGAGAAGGTCCTATCCTGGGTGCCCATTAAGTTAGTCTCTGTAGAGACAGTATTCTCACAAGGAACTTTTCTTAAAGCCCAAAGTTTGGTAGGTTCACTACAGTAGAGATGGTCCCTGAGCTAATTTTTAAAATTAGATTTATACACTCATGTAGACGAATGGTCTACTCTGCTAAGCCATTTTCCAATTAAAAGTTTAAAATCAGCATCAGTTGATACAGAAAGCTACTAACAACCAGTGCTGGTTGTCCAGCATTAGTCTTATGATCTTGATTACTGTGTATCTACTAACAGCTTAGAGCTTGCCCTGGTATGCACCAACTAAACTTTTGGAATGCACTTCAAGAATAACTCAATGTACAACAGTTGACAGTAGTCAAAGAATGTCATTAAGATATGGGTGATTCTTACCAAACCAGGTTTATTCAAGAAAGCTATAGCTACCATTCTAGACACAGTGTCTAGAAGTTTTTTTGTGTCAAAAACCTTCCTCAGTACCACTGACATGTGGCAGCCTGGAACCCTGCAGTTATCTCTATTTTTATGTTCTCATATTTACTTAACATAATTTAAAAACAAGTAATCTTAAAACAATGTCTAATGATGTCAGGTATGTTGGAAGTGTAATAGGCTGAAGTGTGCAATTGTTCTCCCCTGAACCACAAAATTATTTGTGACTAAAATATAAAAACTGCAATTCTGCCAAAAACGGTGCTCAGAGAAACTATTCATAGAAGCTGGAAGTAACATCAAGAGTCAGAAATGGATGAAGGAATAGTGAGCAAAAGAGAATGTTCTTATTGTTCTTTTCTTCAGCTCTCTGAAAATGAGATATAGGAAATCACAGTATTCCTTTGTAAGATCAGGAAGCTAGTGTGGAGCTAGGGGTTGGGAGTTCAATACCCCACTGCCTCCTGTGAGGCTTTGGGCAACCCTGAAAAAGATAGTCATTAGCTAGAATTGACTTGGTGGCACATGATGATGGTGGGGAATGAAACAAAACATATAAAACCATACCAAAGCCTCCAAATCTCAACATGTGCAGTAACAAAGTGGAATATAGCACCAACCAAATCTGAAAGCTTCAACTTATCAAGTAGTTTACTGCAAATGTCAACCCAGGATACAAAAGAATCTCTTTTCTATACAGGATTTTTCTTTAAATATCTTGTGGTTACTACCACCAGTTCATCAATGAAAGGACAAACAATGAGGAGATTTACCTGTGCAGTTATATCCATTCAGAAAGCCATCCAGTACAGTTTTGGTGGTATTTTCAAAAACCTCCAGCTGTGAAGAACTTTCATCAAAGACAGCATCAAATATAAACTTGAGGTCCTTGTTCTGCTTTTTGGTAATATCACGGTATGGGAGTTTTTTTCCATGAAAGAAACTGACTTCTTCCACTTTGGGATCAAACACCAGCATATGCTTGTCAACAACCTGGATCACTTTCCTGAAATTGCCATTTCTCTCTTTTTCATTTTCTGGACGAACACGGATCACAACTTTCACGTGACTGCACACATTGTCTTCAACAGCAGCAGACATTACGAAGCTGTGCTATGTAGTCTGTAGAGTATTTCTCATATATGGTAACTCCAGGTTTTTCTGTTGCGAAGGAATTAAAGTAGCTTAATCAACAACATCAAAGATTATAATCCTACATTCATTTAGCTGGATGAAAGCTCCGTCATAAGAAAGTCAACCTACTTCTAAGTAAATGTGTAGGATTGTGCCATAATGAAAACAAACAAATTTATGTCAAATGCTGGTCATTTGCCTTGCCAAAGGTATAATTTATAAGACTTTTAAAGCAGTGAGTTAGGATTTATGTTAAATACTCCATTAATTAACTAACTAACCAATGAACTAAACAGTTAATTGATTTAAAATGTTTATATGCTGCCTTTTTCCTAGAAAGGATCCAGGACAGCTTACCGTATTAAAAAGAAACAAAATTATTGAGTGGGTGAGTGTGAGTGGTCTCAGTTGTAGACTGAAAGTGACAACTAGTTGTGTTGGATTATTTTCTCTTCTGGATCTATCTTGTACTATAGCCATTGCAAAACAATTAGCCAACTCTCCAGCCAAGTAAGGTCACTGTACCTTAACATCTTGACAATTGGACGTATGGTGCATAAATGTGGAGGTGGCATTTGCAGATCTTATAGATTGCACTTTATGTATTTCCAGTCCAATAATAATCGGCTCAAGCAACAGGATGCCAGATTTAGGCTGAAGATCAGGAAAATTTTCTTAACAGTTAGAGCAGTATGACAAGGCAGTGAATTACCTCGAGTGAGCACTCCTACATTGATTTAGCAATGCTGGAGTCATTCAAGAGAAAATTGGACAACCATCTGTCAGATCTATTTTGATTAGGATTCCTGCATGGAACAGGAGGTTGGACTTTATGGCCTTATAACCCCCTTCCAACTCCCTTATTCTACGGAGCTACAATAGTCTGGTGTTCTAGGACTGTGATGCAACAGAGCACTACTTTGTTAGGCTTTGCAGAATTTTAGTCAAAACAATGATGTTATTGCCATAATTATTGCCACAGTGGCAGCTTGCCAGATTTTAAATTACAGTCGTGCCCTGCATTACAATTTCCCCGCATTACGACGAAACCACATTACGATGAAGTTTTTGCAATCGCTTTTGTGATCGCAAAATGATGGTCTGAATAGGCTTTTTTCACTTTGTGATGATCGGTTCCCTGCTTCGGGAACCGATTCTTTGCAAAACGACGATTTTCCTACAGCTGATCGGCGGTTTCAAAATGGCCGCCAGGTAAATAAAATGGCTCCCCGCTGTTTTCTGGGACGGATTCCTCGCAAGACAGCCACCGAAAATGGCCGCCCTATGGAGGATCTTTTAGCCCATTGGAACACATTAAATGGGTTTTAATGCGTTTCAATGGGTTTTTCATTTTCGCATTACGTTTTCGTTCTACAGCGATTTCGCTGGAACGAATTAACGTCATAATGCGAGGCACCACTGTACAACTCCTTGTAGTCAGAACAACAGAATTTCCTATTAAAATGTTTTTGTTGACTCTTCTGCCCCCTGGAAAAAACATTGTTTACAGTTGAGAGGGAAATGAAATTGAGTTTGGAACTCCCTCCTATAAGAGGCCAGGCAGGACCCATTATTTTCTCTTCTGGATCTATCTTGTACTATAGCCATTGCAAAACAATTAGCCAACTCTCCAGCCAAGTAAGGTCACTGTACCTTAACATCTTGACAATTGGACGTATTGAGTTTGGAACTCCCTCCTATAAGAGGCCAGGCAGGACCCATCATTGCTGTCCTTCTACAAGCAGGTAATGAACTTTCTCTTCAGGCAAGCATTCCCTCAGTGACTAACTGCCTGAGTGGGGTTGTTAAATGGATTGATGTGCCTTGCTGCTGTGAATGTGTTTTGGTGTTGTTTTTGTTTACTATTGTGGTATTTGATCCTTTCAAGTTTTGTATACTTACTGCTTTTAGCTTTAAATATTGTCTTTTGATGATGTAAGCCACTCTGGTTCCTTTTTAAGAAGAAAAACTTCTGAAAATTTCCAATTTTTCTGGAAAAAAACAGATTTTTTTCAGGAAAAATTGAGATTTTCAGAAATGTTTCATTTCTAAAGTACACTAGAGTTCTTATAACAAGAAAATATTAAATGAAAACACTTCTAAGTGTCTTTTTCCTGTAAAAATGGAAATGTTCACAAATTTTACTTCTGTAGGTAAAAAATATTTTTAATAAATAAATAAACTGAAAGAACTATAAATATAGGAAGATGCATACAAAAAGAATACAACACATTATTAGAAGGCAAGTCGACACTACACCAAACAAACTTGGATAGCAACAACAATCATATAGCAGAAACAGTTGCAACAGAAACATCATGGATTTCCTTCCATACATAGTTGCAAACTGGCACAAGGCTGGGTGAGCATTTAGAATTATTTTGTTTGTTATTGATATGCTTGAAGGCTAGGAAATGCTATCTATTCATCCATCCAAAATATTTTAGCCCACATTTCTCCTTGAAATGGACCCTATGTGGCTTACAACAGTGAAAGACAATATTTACCATTGAAACAATGGTGGTATCATAAAAAGACAGAATAAAAAGGCATCTTATATCATTAACAAGAAATATTAGGGCAAAGATCAATAAGTAAACAAAAATTTTAAAAAATGCCACCCTGAGAAATGGAAATCACAAAGATAGAAAACACTAGTACTAAAAATGCAGTCAAAACAGTAATGCATAGCTAGCTAGCTAAAAATCACAGACAAGTAGCTAGTTACTGAAGGAAGGCTTGCCTAAGGAGAAAAGTATTTGCCTGCTTTCAGAAGGACAGCAAAAATGGGGCCAGTCTGGCCTCCTGTGGGAGGGAGTTGCAAAGCCTGGGAGCAGCACTACAGAAGGCTCTCTCCCGTGCCCGCATCTCCGAAGGAGGTGAGACTGAGAGAAAGACCTCTCCAGATGATCTTAACACCTGAGGTGGCTCCTAATGGGAGACAGTATTTGAGATAGCTTGGACCCAGGGCATTAAGGGCTTTGTAGGTTAAAACCAGCAGTTTGAATTGTGCCTGGTAACTGATCAGCAGCCAGTGGAGCTGCTGCAGCAGGGGAGATTATGTGATCCCTGTAACCAGACCCAGTCAGCAATCTGGCTGCTGCATTTTGGACCCGTTGAAGTTTCCTGACACTTTCCATCAGCAGCCCTGCAGAGAGTGTGTTACAGTAATCCTGCCAGGAAGTAACTAGGACGTGTATCACAGTGACCAGCTCAGATCTCTCAAGAATTGAACATAGCTGGAACACTAAATTGTGCAAATGTACTCCTGGCCACCACGAAGACCTGGACATCCAGGCTCAGCAATGAATCCAGGAGCTCCCCCAAACTGCACACCTGTTCTTTTTAAACGGGAGTATAATCTCATCCAGTACCAAGTGCATCCCTATTTCTTGATCTGCCTCTGTATATTCTTACTTTTAAGAACTTCAGTATTTTAAGATACATATTCCCAGCTTTTTGATTATGCCTTTTTAGGCTATAAATTCTTTTAATTTTAGAATGTAATTTAAAATATTCTCATTGTTCTATTTTACCCTTAAACATATTTGTCCTGTATTTTGGATTGAATTCTGTCTTAAGTATTTGGTTGCAATTAAAGTTTAGTTTTCATATATTTTTACATATTTGTATCTACAATTTTTCCATAGCTGTAAAACTTTTATATTCTTACATCTTTGAAGAGTTTTTTTGTTGCTTATAGAACAGAGAAGAAATGTAGATAAATAAAGCTTGTAGGATTAAACAAGCTGATGCTGCCTGGAAGTATTGCAACAATAACTGCTTGGTTTAATTCTGAAATGTCAATGACTGATATTTTTACATATTTGTATCTACAATTTTTCCATAGCTGTAAAACTTTTATATTCTTACATCTTTGAAGAGTTTTTTTGTTGCTTATAGAACAGAGAAGAAATGTAGATAAATAAAGCTTGTAGGATTAAACAAGCTGATGCTGCCTGGAAGTATTGCAACAATAACTGCTTGGTTTAATTCTGAAATGTCAATGACTGTCTAGTCTATAAATGTTTGGTTTAATTCTGAAATGTCAATGACTGTCTAGTTTCATTCTGGAATTAACCTTCTTTTTTGGATAAATACTAGCTGTGAAAAACACAGACTTCTGATTATCCCCACCCCCACGGTTTATAAGGTCATGTAGAGCTCTTGGGAGGATGTTGAGTTGTCAGAATCCCTGACTTGATATACCTATCTACTCTAGTGATATAGCAGTAACTTTGGAAGTGCAGGTGCTGTGCTGCTCATGAGTCTCCACAGCCACTTCCTCCTTCAGAAGACTGCAAAAATGCATGCTACAGTGGGGTCTTGACTTGGGAACTTAATCCGTATTGGAAGGCGGTTCTCAAGTCAAAAAGTTCTCAGGTCAAATCTGCATTTCCCATAGGTTTGGAAGTGCAGGTGCTGTGCTGCTCATGAGTCTCCACAGCCACTTCCTCCTTCAGAAGACTGCGAAAATGCATGCTATTAGAATTTCCCTTATTAACAAATAAGAAGCATGTCTTTTGTAAAGATGATGTCTCTTCATTATCTACAGTATTTGAGACCAAATCACCCTCAAATACTTTGCATCACAACAGGAATAGTTTGCAAGAATACACTGTTTCTAGGGAAATTCAGTCTCTCCTCCTCTTGTGAATTGTACTCAAGCTCAAAGTAAATAGGAAAGCCAGAAAGGGCAGTGATGATGTCATATGTCCACTAAGCAGAAAGTCTAGGGCTTCAACCTCCAGAAAGTCTTAGCTCCACTACACTCCTGCATCTTGCCAAGAAGAACCAGAGGAATAAGGTCTAGACTTGAACTTTCGGCAGATCAGTCTCTTGCTCTTTTGCTACCATCGTCCTCCCATATAGAACAAGGCAGTGGCAATGTTTCTCTTCATTAATGTGGCTAACTGGACATTAACACTTTTCAGACGTCTCTACTATTATACTGCAGCAGACACTGCAAGAGTGTGTTAACAACCTCAAAGGGATGAAGTGTGTAATAGTATGCAGAAATATACAGTATTCCATAACCTAGGCACTGTTCCTTAAAATCCTGCAGACTTCAAAATTTGTAGATACCGTTTCTTTCCCTCCTTAATCATACTCTGAGATCCTTAAGTCCTGTATTCAGCTGCCCCGCTCAACAGACTTTTAAAGAGGCTGAGCCCCACTGAACACAATGGGACTTATTCCCACGCAAAAAATGTATTGGATCGGAGACGTGGTGTCCAGTAAATAAGGAAGCAAGCCACCCTGACCCTACGTAAGCCTGCTTGGACATCATCCTCCCTGCGTCCAGCGAGCATGACACCCGGCGCTGCAGTCTTAAGGATGAGTAGGTAACAGGGAGAAAACACGGGAGTTCCTGGAAGAACGTGTCGGCGAGGCAATCCGAGCAAGTCGCGCCTGAAACAAGCAACGAAAAACAGTCCTCACGATCGCCTTGTTGCGGTTGCGTATTTGGGAGGCGGCGGCGACAACAATTAGAGTACTGATAGGCCACCCATCTTTCTCCAAAGGAATTCAGGCGCTTGGGGGACGAACCCGCGCGAGCTCACTTGCCTATACGATAAAGTGGCATCAGGCCCCTCGGCGACCCAAGGCAGCTAAAGGCGACGTGATTTTCAAGCAGCCGTGTGGACGTAAAGACTCACCGGAGCATGAGGATCCTCTCGGTTGACCGCCGGCCCGCGCCGCTTTCTATGAACGTCGCGGCCGCTGAGCTTCCTCGGTTCAGGGAGGCAGCAATTCAAACACAAGCGGCTTGTGGTTTCCCTCCTTCTGATTGGCTCGCAGCGGGAGCACGTCATAAGCGTCGCCACGCTGCTGATGGGCTGGACGATGTAGTTTGGCCTACGTGGGGACCCGTCCCTCCCCCCCTAATAATGGTTTTTAGCGGACTTTTAACGGTAGGGAAGGCTAGGCATCTCGTCTCTATGTTTGACAAATAGGGTGTTGGATGCTGCTGGTGAATGAATCAATGAAAAGAACTCTTACCAGCTGATCAGAGTAGGAGGAGGGTGGGGGTGCGAGTGGCTTTTGGTTTTTGTTCGGCCCCGAGAATGGAGAATACGTTGTAAGCGTGGATAAAGACCAAAAAGGTGATCGGAATGCGAGAATGCAGTGAAGGTAGAATTCAATGCCACAGCTTAAGTTTTGTAGGCACCACGCAACCTTTCCTGTTGTAGACAGCGATCATTTACTGTTATGGACTTTGATGTTACAGAAAGGTTGATACTGTTTAAAATGCCTTTCAGTCGTATACCTCTCTCAACATTGTTCTAACCTCAGTGACTCGAAAATAGCTCCCTGAGTCCTATCGAAGCGACTCCCAAGTGAGCATACAGAACGTAGCGGTACCCGATTGCCGAGTCAACCTGCTTCTGACGTCAACTTACACGTGACTGTGTCTTATTTTTACACGTGAGTGCCTTTAATTTTAAACAATTCCAACCACGAGCGAAGGTGGTTGCGATACAATTCCGTATGCGGAAGGTAACCTCCTTAATAAAGCTATAAGTAGCATGCAGCTGTGGCATTTGAATCTCGGTGCAGAGTGCAGCCCTGTCTTAAGAAAAAGTTCTTAAAATTGCTCCATCTGAGGATGGAATAATGCAATGTGGTCTATCATGAGGCGTTCCACGGTGGACACTTGTTAACATTTTTCTGAGGGCTGCATTTAAAAAAAAAGAGGTCGGTGCGATGGGAATCGAAAAATTATGATGGTCAACCCTATGGCTGTCTTCCTCCCGAAAAATCATCTGCCTCCATCGCTCAGCTACTTTTCTGCCGCAGAAAAGATCGGGAAGTGCAGTTTTGGCACAATGGTTGTGCACAGGAAATAGCTCGGAGGAATGAGTGTTTTCTCACGCGGAAAGGAGAGGGTCCCTAGAGAATACTGGAACAGTCAGTAATATTTTACGCATAAAAGATCTTTCTGACGTTGAGAAAATAGTAGAGAATCTCTGCCCCGATTGTTCAGGTTCCGAAGGTTGTGTGGTGGAACTCCTGATTATAAAACAAAGTATTTATTAATAATACAGGGTATTCATTTTTCTTCTGCAACGCATCACAATCCGGGAGAACATCTATCTCGTATTGAAACATAATAGTTACCGTTTAATGTGCCATAATGTTTTTGTTCCACACACAAAAGATCCCGAAAAACAAAAACATTGTGGCACTTTAAAGGCTAAGTACAATACAGTATGAGCTTTCGTGGATCAAGTCAACTTCCTCCGAAGGGTGGTTTTTCTTTTCTTTTCTTCTTACATCCTTGCACTGACTAACACGGCTACTCCTTCGAAAATTACAACAATCCGGGAAGTAACTTTGTGCGTCGTTACTGATGGCGCATTGAACAGATGCTCTACTCTTGCTTGCTCGTTTCACAGTTTACGAGCCAGCTATAGCACTGGAGGCAGAAGCAAGGGAAAAAGAAGCGGCTTCCCGGGGAAACGTAGAGATAAAGAACACAGGGGGAGAGAGGGAAGCGACGAGATAGGGGAGCTAGTAGGCAGGGAAGAGACAATCTTGGCAGACTACGCCTGTTTCATTCGGTGTCAATCCCGCTGAATTGATTTGACGCTAATCCCGCAGTAAGTGTGGATGCCTTCCGTTTGAGGCAGCAGGGCCTCACTGAGATCGCCAACCTGCCTGTAGTGTTGCATAAATTGCGCAGTTAAGAGGTGGGGAAGCGGAGCGTCGGGCTCCCCTTCGCCGCCAACCTTTTTTTCCGAGAGGTCCCTGTTGCCTTCTGCGGAGGCGGACCAAAAAAGCCGAAACGGAATAGAAAGCGCGACGCCTTGTTGCGGGGAGGAAGCCTATTGGCGGCCCTCCTGGCTGTCACGGGAAGGCGGCGGGGCCGTGGCCTCCTCGAGCGCGGTGAGTAGTAGGAGGACCGTGCCGTCGTCTCAGGGCGAGTGTAGCCAAGCCTCGGGCCCGGGGGTGGACAAATGAACCGTTGGGGGAAAGGAAGGGCTCTGTTTGTTCTCGGCAGGACGCAGGACGGGCTACACTCACAATAAAAAGCCGCCTCGCTTCCTCCCTCCCTCCCACTCACGAGGAGCCCTATTGGTTGGTAAGGTCTTCCCTCGTTTCGCCAGTGGCTACAGTTGGCCCGGTCGCCTCTCCCTCTCAGCTCAAAGGGCTGCATTTCGGAAGAGTGTAAGGAGCGACTTCGAGATTAAAAGCCACCCTGAAAATAAAGCGAGGTGCTTTATTAAAAAATAAATAAATACTGAGCCAAAATGGCCTTTTAAGTCGAAAACAAAGCATCCTTCTGTTCAGCCACTGTCGTTTGGGTTAATCTTTTGTTAATTGTGTGACGCGTAATGTAATGGACGCCGTTCTCATCTATGGGTGGGGGGGGAGAGAGACAAAGGCAGGTGCCTTTAAATCTAAAGAATATAGGCCGTAGTTGTTTTATTGGCTGGAAGCCATAGTAATTGCAGTAATGAGTAAAACACCCTCTACCTTCATCATCCGGATCCAAGACGCTATGGATGACATGGCCTGGTGTCAGGAATTATTACTGGCATGGGTGCTTTCAGTCAGCCAATGGCAGGTTCTTCCTGTTCATGTCTTTCTCTTTCGATGTCTTGCCTGTCTACTTTTTATCTTTTCCTTCAGGCCCCTCTTTAGTATCTGGGTCCTGATCAACAGCTGACCTTCCTCCCCTTACTCTTTCCAACGTCTTTTGAGCACTCCTCCTGTTGGCCTGTATCCTCATGGGAGTTGGCTTTGTCTTTTAAAAAAAGTACTTCTGGAAAGCAGGTGGACTACTGCAGAACACATGGGAAAATCCTTATAAGCTGCACACATGAGAGGCTAAAGTGGTGCTGTGATTCCTGGTGCTCCTCTGGCAAAGTGTATGGGGGAGATGAAGGGAAATTATAGATACCAGAAGTAATAATGTGAACAAGTAATCTACAGTATTCTCCTCAAGATTACCTAATCTATTATTGAACCATAACACCATTCCTTTAAACAGCCCCTTAGTTTGTCCTGGGGTAAGGGGCTAATAAAGTTACTTTATGGCAGATCTTACTCTTTATTTTTCTACTTCTGTGCCTAGTTTAACAGTATAAGTTCCTTGTCCTTTTTGCTGCCTTGTTCTAAATTACTGTTGTACTTGTGAGTCACTGGGGTGGAAAAGGCTAGACATTTAAATAATAAAACTTTGCTCTGGCTGTGTGTAAAATTTCTATTGTAACTACCATTTCCATTGCTTCAATAATTCCAAGAGACATTGTATACTTCTATTTTTATTTTAACTTATTTTTGTCTTGCTCTTCCTTTTCCTAATAGAAGTTGTGGGGAAGTTACAGGTCACAGTTCAATAGTGCACTATTGAACTGTGACCTGCAACTTCCCCACAACTTCTATTAGAAAAAGGAAGATGAAGCAGTGCAGTAATAAAGGCACAGAAGCTTAAACCTCTAGATGACCCTTCCCAAAAGTTTAACATAGATATCAAAGAGCATGTGGGACAAGAAGAAACCATTTGTTTGAAGGCTGTGGGGTGGAATAGCTGCTAAGAGAATACAGGAGAATCAACAGTCACATTCTCTTTGTCCTGGCACAGAAATGGTTTGAGGGCCTTTGATAGTCATGCGTAAAAAGTTCATAGATTTTTAAGATAACCCCCCCACACACACAAAGATTAATATTTGGTACATCATCTCTTGTATTTAGAAAATTAGTCCCATAAGGTAAGATGTGCATAGGGGAAAAAATAACTAATTAGTTCATGAATATAAATTATTATAGGATTGCAGTGGTAGTCTCTCTCTCTCTCTCTCTCTCTCCCCAAGACGAAATCCTCTGCAGTAATGTCTGCTTTCCATTTCAGGTATGTTCTTACAGATCTTTGTAGTTTAAATTACTGTATTTCTCTGTCCATCCACATAAGAACTCGGAGGTAGTATTAACTAATTTCTGCAAGACTAATTTCTGACTGAATAGGGATTTGAAACTGTTTCCTTGTGTTTTGGCTACTGTGTGATGATAGTGATGTAGATACGGTTGTTTTTTCTTACTGTCAATGATTTGGATGCTCCCAATCTGCCTATAGTTTTCATGATCCACATATATCAATGTGATTTATTTTTAAACAGGCCTGTTTATAGTTTGGGTCAGATTAAATTAAAAAAAAATCAGTGGTTGGAAAGTTAAGGTATTTGACTGTGTAGAAATGTTAAAATTAGTAGAATACAACTGCATCTTAGAGAAAACAAGTTCTGTAGTTTTGGTATCTGGCTAAAGAGCCAAAGATTGGGAGTTCAGTTCCCTACTGTGCCTCCCTGACAGTTGCTAAAGTTGACCTATAGGGTCCCTTTTAGTTCTGCAATACTAAGATGATAGTTATGTTGAAAGGCTTTTGCAGCATGTGCTGATACTCCGGTCTTTTCATGCCAACTAATAAACAATATTTATTGTTTCATTATAGTTTTCATTTCCTTCCAATCATTTTGAAAATGCTGATTTTGACTTCTAATTTTTCTTCTCAGGCTGGTTAATTTATTGCTATTAAGAATTGTACCCTGTCCGTCAATCAAGCTCATCTAGAAGATGCAACAGGTTCCATACTTATGCAAGATGCACAAGTCATTTCTTTTTCACAATTTGAGTAAATCTACCTCAAAAAGTTTAGGTATGTGGGCCAGAAAAATACACTCTTCATTAGTAAGTAAATGTAGAGATGAAAAAAAATCATTACGCTTGAATGACAGTGAAAATGTAGACTACAGCGTACGCAATGAAGACTGCCTACTACTACATATACCAGTTATGGTCAAGGAAGTTGTTAATTTTTTATCACCACAGAATGGACAGGTAAGCTGAAGTTTCTTTTCAAAACTGAACACTTTTTTTCTCGTGGCGCAGTGGTTAAATTGCTGTACTGCAGCCAAAACTGTGCTCATGACTTGGGGTTCAATCCCAGGTAGCCGGCTGAAGGTTGACTCAGCCTTCTATCCTTCTGAGGTCGGTAAAATGAGTACCCAGCTTGCTGGGGAGGCAATGTGTAGCCTGCATAGTTAACTTGTAAACCGCCCAGAGAGTGCTTGAAGCACTGTGGGGCGGTATATAAGCAGCACGCTTTTTATTTTTTAAAAAGTCATTCTCTAGGCTCCTAAGAGAATATATTTTTAGGGAAGTGAAGTTTGTTTATTTTTTATTTTTTTGCAGTGAGTTTGTGATTTCTGGACTGGGCGGACTGGGCTGATATGTGATTGATACGAAAATCCTGTTTTGATTATACAGGATGCATTTATATAGTTACTGTTTTTATATGAGTTACTACAGTATTTATTTATATAGTTATTATTTTTATATGAGACTAATTGCCAGGGAGGCAACCCCTGAATTTAACTTTCAGTTGTACCCAGTATCTGATGGGAGATATCAGTGCTCAGAATTTTTCATAGGATCACTATATCAAAAGCTGCAAAATGCAGATCCTACAGGAACATCAAGCCAGTCTCCATCTCATATTCTGATTGGAGACCAGCCTGAACAGCATTAAGGAAATATGCTTTATTTCAGAATGCCTGGTGCTGTTAGCTGCTATTTACTGCATATATTTCTTCCTAAAGAATAGTTGGTTATAGTCTTGAAACTGGTCTAAAGGTATTAAGTGGTATATGGTTATAAATCTGTTATCAGGAACTCTTTACAGAAGAGCTTCTCATTATGGGAGTCCTGAAACTATGCTGCATTGAACATACCTACAGAGCCCTGTCTGGATCTTCACACTGGATATGGAAGAGTTTGAAATGCTGGCCATGCAAGCACATTTCCATGTTCCCCTTCCCATTTAGTCCTGCATGTGAGCAAGCAAATCGCTGGATAAGGTTTATGCTTTGCATGGCTAAATTTCTGATTACCACAGGCCCCCACATTCCCCAAGGCATGTCCTTAATATGATCTCTTTGAAATAATCATTTATTTCTCCCTCATTGTGATGGCTTTCTTCCCCAAGACTCTGATTCTCCTTGGCAGCACCTGAATTTTCATCCTGGTAGTGGTATGTCAGTCTTATTCATAAGTCTTTTTCTTTCTTAGCTGTCTTGTCCTCAAGGGAACCTTTTTCCTGAGAACCAGGAGCTATCTTTACTTGCTGAACATCCACAAACTTGTCCTGCAGGCAGATACCATATTTTTCCGTTTATAAGGCACCCCCATGTATTGGACGCCCCTCCCACTTTTCTAACCCAAAATTAAGAAACCCGAGCAGGGCTTAGCAAGTGGAGGGGGAGAGAAGGGATCAAAGCACTGCAGGATTGCTTTGATCCATGCTTTCCCCTTTTGTTGCTAAGCCCACTTAGCAAGTAGAGGGGAAAGCAGGGATTTGTGCTTTGGTCCCTTACTCCCCTCCTTACTTCTGTGTATAACAGACCTGAGCAAAGTATGGCCTGCGAGCCGCTCCTGTCCGGCGCACTGGTCGTCACTCCAGTCCAGTGTTCAAGCCCAAGACAGACTGGATTTCTTTCACTGAACAAGTTGAACATCAAAACCATTTATAGCTTTTTGTCTAAAGTTGATAATTTGCTTATCTTTAACATACCGCAAAAATCCTCTTTAGTATTTGTGAAGATTAACAAGTTTAAAATAAAAACAATTATAACATCACTGTTTCATTTTATTTTTAAGTAAAGTTGGTTCGGCCCCCGAACACAATTCTTGTCTTATACACAGACCCCTATAGAGATTAATTGCTCACCCCTGGTGTATAAGTTGATGCTCAACTTTTACTCTAAAGATTTTAGACAAAAGTATTGTCTTATACACAGACAAATATGGAAATCACTCAGTATACTCAACAGTCCTACACCCATGCTGTTTTTGTATCTACATAGCTTTGTTCAGTGAGAGACTGGACTGTTTACTATCAGTAAGAGGCAAGATGGACTGTTCTGGTTTGTTTGCTCTGTTACTGAACTCATCTGTCTCATAACTTCATATTACCTCAGTGCTTTCTCAGTGGGTGATATACATTAATTGGGCTCTCATTTTTACTAGTACCAGTAAAGCTGAGTCCCCACTCAAGTCTGTGCTATCTTTTGGAGTCTCTCACTAAACATCCATATTTTTAAAAAATCTGTTTTACCCACCCACCCCAACATTTGCTGGCTCATAAGGTCCTTGGGACCAACAGGCTACTTTTAGAGCTGTTGGTTGCTGTTCATGCCTCTATCTAGCTCTGTGGTTCACCTTACGCAGGTGTAGAAACCGCTCCCACTTGAGATCATGTAATCTTGCAGCTACAAAAAGGAAGAGGAAAGCACCCAGAAGGACATAGCCAAACAGCCCCTCTCACACACATTTTAAGAGCAAACCAAATAAAATAGCTACAGACTTTCCTTCTTTCCCAGTTTGTGGCTCCTGTTTGTTTATTGTGTATCCTGTGTTCTCTAAGGCTGGCAGTCTACTATTAATGCTAACTTAGGAGACGATTAGAATATTGATTTCTAGAGTGTATGATTCATCAGTTACTTACCATCAGCCATGAGTATTTGGGGAAAAACATATCACAATTAGCCAAGGTGTGTGGGTTTTTTGTTTTTTTTTTTGACAAAAATGAAATCTCTACCCAGTGCTCACATTCCAGACTAAATGGTCAAAATCCTGTTGCTGATTTACACATGTGTAATGAAAACCACATAAGTCGTAGAAACAAATTGTCCCTCATTATCAAGGTGCTGGTTTTGCTCTTAGATGCACACTCACTCATGTGATTGCTGGCCTGTGATCAGCTTACTATGGCTTCTAAATACTATGTCCCTACTGGTGTGTGTGTGTGTGGTTCCGTAGAGCAAAGGGCTTTCAAATATATAGTGTTTCTTCTTTTATGATAGGTTCTGAATTTCCAGGCTCCATATATCTCCTGAATTTTTATACTGTAGCTCAGAATAAGCAGTATGGCATGGGAGGAACAATAACTGTCACATAGAACCTAATGTCAAAATGTCCTTTGAGACAAGAATATTACCTTTTGGGCTAAAATTAAATCATTCAGAAATTCAAGACAGATGCTTACTCATTTGTGCAGATGAAAGAGTACCATATCTATGTGAAGTAGATACTGGTCGTATGTTTATCCTTGATTCTTATTGATAGGAAAATTGTCTACCTCAAAGTGCAAGCAGTGGACTTCTAGTCAGGTTATCTGAAGCACTTTGTACAAGTGCTTCTTGTCTCAAAGTAGGTTTGAGTGTTACTTTTCTGTTGTCCTCAGTTAATCTGTGAAACAAAGCTGAAGATTAGAAGGCACCAGAAATGCAGTAGAAACACCAAGAGCTATGTTATTCACAGTGCTTCCCAGAATGGAACATATGCACACAGATTCCAATGTGATGATTCCATTATAGTGCTGCCTTGCTAGACAGTTACCCCGCATGACAGTTTTTTCGCTAGACATTGACGTTTTGCAATCGCTATAGCAATTCGCAAAACAGTATTTCCTATGGGGGAATTTCGCTGGACAATGTTTGGTCCCTGCTTCGCAAACCAATTTTTGCTAGACAACGATTTTGACAGCTCCCTCCGCGCTCACAAAACGGGTGTTTTTGAGACCTAAGCTTTGCAAGACAGCTATTTAAACAGCTGATCAGCGGTTCGCAAAGCGGCTTTCCTATGGCCGATCTTTGCTAGACAACGACAATTCTTCCCCGTTGGAACGCATTAAACAGGTTTCAATGCATTCCAGTAGGGAAATACTTTTCGCTAGACAATGTTTTCGCTGAACAGCGATTTTAGTGGAATGGATTATCATCGTCTAGCGAGGCACCACTGTATTGTAGATGGGAATTTAATTCATCTAAAGTGAAAGTGTGGTTGTGGGTACTATATGCTTCAAAAGATTTCAAACTTTGCAGAATGAATTAAAATAACAAATATGTTAATATTCTTCTCTGTTGGATCTGTGTAAGTGTTCAGTTGCGTAGTAGTGGGGAAAATACAGAGATTGAGTTTGGTGATTTTGAGCATATTAAATCACACTTACTTTGAGGAAGTGGACTTGTCCATGACAGTTCACATTAAAATGTAGCAGTTAGTCTTTAAGGTGCTGCATCATTTTTATCTTCTTTATTTTTATTTTTATTTTGTTTCTGGCCAGGCTCACACTTTGTTATACATTTTATCATTTGCTGTAAGCCCTCTGTTTTTGTATCTGTGATTTGGTTTCCAGGAGACAAACCTTGTTTCTTCCTATTATCTTCAAGGTGGTTCCCACCAGTTTTCTACTTGTGCTGAAGAGAGCTTGCAGCTTCTACTAAGAAAGAGAACAGCATGATGCTTGGTCTGCCTGCTGAGAACCGTGCTGTGTATGCACCAGATCTCATTTTCCTGTGATACTAAGTTAGCTTACTGTTCCCACTATGTATCGCATAACAAATGATAGTATTTCAGGAGCCTATTTAAGGCACTACATTATAATAAAAAAAGATGCAATGTTGTTGGGTGACTCAGCTTGTAAATGACGCTGTGTACACTTTCCCTCTGTATTACTCCATTAGTCTTTGCACTTCTTTGCCAAAACTAGTCACAAGAAAGTAATCTAAGACCTCTGAATGAGATGCTGGTCTCAGAAATAGTGATAGAAGTAGTTTCATGCTCTTCCTAGTATTAACTATCTTTATAAATATTTGAGTACTGGTTTGCACAGCATGATTCAGAGTTTTGGTTCCCTACTGCACTAGATGGTAGCAAGGCATTAAGCTTGTGTCAGGAACGTGCCACATAAGCCATTCTTATAGCAAGAATTAGAAAGTATGTATTTATTTAAGTTGTCTAGATATAAATTGGTCAATTAAAAAAAAGGCTTAATTATG